TTTCTCTGTATTTGAATGACCTCCCTGAAGTTTTTGAAAAAAAGCAAAGGCGCTGGGCGATAAATAACAAGGGTAGCGGCTGGAAGTTCGTTGGGGCGATTCGCTAGGGGTGGGCGCGTAGTGTCCTGCTGCAGATGTGGCTGGGTACGTGAGTAGCCTACAAACTAACAGCCGCGAACGCGTTAACATGTTCGCGGTGCCTTTCCACTCGGTCGTAGCACTAGCAGCGCAAGGGCTTTAGAGAGCCTTGCGAGTCCTTGCGAATCCCTTAAGGAAGGGTCTAATATTAGCCAAGGACTATTACAACTTTTCCTTAAGGAGCTTCCTTAAGGAATTTTTTTTCTCTTAAGGAAAGTTATAATAACTTTTTGTAATAGAAATTCCTTAAGGAAAAGGGTTTTCCTTAAGGAAGCCACTTAAAGGAGTCTCTTAAGGATTTCGCAAATTATTGCTAACCCTATAAATACTAATATAATTATAATAGAAGGCGACTGCTCAGAAGCTAGCTGTAGTGATAGTGAACTACCATGTTGCCTAACAAAAGCAACAGCTGCGCTGGCGGGGCATCTTGTGAAAACGTCTATGTTCCCTTCCTGGAATGAAGCGCTTTGGCCTTCCTCTGGCAGTTCTGCGTTGATGTTGTCGAGGACTGGTTGCGAGATGAAGAGATGACTACTATCTGTTGAATCTGCAGAATTTTCGAATAGCTTGCGGTTTCTCTTTTCTAGCTGCTCAAAATCTTTGCGTTTCATCTTCCTCTTCTTCTCCGGGATCTTGTTATAGCGATCAAGAGCTCTTGGTGTGAAGAAGACTCGGATGTTCTCTCCTGCTAGTCGTAACGTACTCTTAATCATGCTTTTCGCATTCTTCATCTCGAGCCGGATGAGCTTCTCCATGGTATCCTGAAACCACTTATCGTCATTTTTTTGGTCTGCGATTAGACTGTCTTGACGAAGTTGTTGTAGCAGCTTATACTGCTCTCGCTGTCGAAAGGGCTTGTTATGCTTATGTGGTTCTAGAACTGGATTTGGAACTGGATTCACCACAACGAAATAAGTTGGCCCGCATTGACTCGAATCGAAGAAGATTCCCGCATCATCAGATGGTAATGATGCGAACTCGCCCCGAACACTCTGCACGACTGCTGCCGAGAGCGATAGGCCCGACGTCGTGCGTTTTTCATCGTGCAGTCCGAAGTTCGCCACAGAGTCGCGCCAAGTTAGTTAGAAATGATAGGGATTATATCCAGCTACCTTTAATATTGAGGACCTTATATTTTTTATCATTCGAATTTGATTTGTTTTGGTTCGGAAGTAACAAGTTGTAAATCAATGGAGGATGAGGAAGCCATGCGACCACTCATAATACCTTTTCTCGCGGCTCGGTTTCTGTTCCTTAAATTCATCATGCGGGTCTGGGTGCACAAACGGATTCACCCAATCAATATATCTGTGGTAAAGCCAGTACTCTTTCGCAGCGGCTTGCAAGATTAGAGTTGCTGTATGTGCCACAGGAGAGAAAAGATCCCGACCAAGTTGACAAAAGAAGACGAAGCGGGTCATCATTTGCCATTGCCTGGGGGGCTTGGTTGTATAACGGTGATGACTAAAAAGCTTTTGAATTGATTAGATTACAAGTCGACGGCCCTGTCGCTGGGCATTTGTAATTGTGACAAGCTCTGTGCTGGCGGGACTGCTTCAGAAGTGCCGGCTTGTTTCAGATGTACTTTTCTGGCTGGCTTGTTATGTTTCAGAAGTCTGGCGGGCTAGCTTCAGAGTGAGTGGCTGGTCTACCTAGGCAAGCTGCTACAGCAGAGTTGTTCTGGCGGGCCTGTTTCAGCTGCGCTGCTCTCGCAGGGCTGTTTCAGAAGTCTCGCGGTGTTCTGGCGGGCTTGTTTCAGAAGTAGAGCCCTGGCTGGCTTGTTTCAGAAGTCTTGGCCTGGTGGGCCTGTTCCAGAGTGGCTGTTTTTGGAAAGCAGCCGTCTCCGGCAGCTTCTTCTGGCGGAGCTGCTTCAGGGGCGTTGTTCTGGCGGGGCTTTTTCAGATGAGCTTTCTTGGCGGCGCTGTTTCAAAGGTCCGTCTTGGTCTGGGCTGCTTCGCAAGTCCTGCCCTGGCGGGCTTGTTTCAGAAGTCTCAGCCTGTCCTGGCTGCGGCTGACTTGTTTCAGAAGTCTTGCTTTGGCGGGGTTGTTTCAGAAGTCTTGCTTTGGCGGGGCTGTTTCAGGAGTCTTGCTCTGGGACTGGGTGGCGGGCTAGCCCGTTTCAGAAGTCTTGCTCTGGCTAGCTTGCTTCAAGTGCCTCGCTCTGGCCCGCTTGTTTCAGGTGAGCTGCCCTAGGCAGGCTGTAGGGCTGTTTCAGATTGGCTGCCCTGGCGGGGCTGTTTCAGGAGTCTGCCTCTGGCGGGGTTGTTTCAGGAATTTCGGCGGGCTTGTTTCAGAAGTCTGATCCTGGCTGACTTGTTTCAGAAGTCTTGCTCTGGCGGACTTGTTTCAGATTGGCTGCCCTGAGTAGCGGCGCGTAGGTAGGCTGTTTCGGAAAACTTTCCCTGGTAAGGCTGTTGCAAATGAGCTGTCCTGGCGGGGGGCTGTTTCAGGAGTCTTGTTTTAGCGGGGCTTTTTCAGGAGTTTTCTTGCCCTGGCGGTTCTGGCGGGGCTGTTTCAGAAGTCTTGCTCTGGCAGGCTTGTTTCGGATGGGCTACCCGGGGTACTTAGGCTGTTTCGGAAGTCTCTTCTGGCAGAGCTGTTTCGGATGCGCTGCCCCTGCGAGGCTGTTCCAGTAGTCTTGCTTTGGCGGCTCTGGCAGGGCTGTTTCAGAAGCCTTGCCCTGGCGGGGTTTGTTTCGGCTGAGTTGCTCTGCCAGGGCTGTTTCAGAAGTCTTGCTTTGGCGGGGCTGTTTCAGGTTCTTGCTCTGGGAGGCCCCGCTAAGATATACTAAAACGCAAAGAATCGCATTGGATTCTGGGGACGAATGGCCGACGAAACTAGTCGGCTATTTTTTTTCTGTGCTCTGAGAATCTTCACTAGATTCGTAATTCTAGCAGGAAGTGGAAAACTACAAGCACCCACACCAAATGAGTCCGGCACAAAAATATTATTTCGTCAACTAGTTGTAGTTGATCACGCATAAGGAAGACAATATTGAGGAAAGAAATACAATTAGGCATAGTAAGCGAATGCGCCATATTTTTATGCCTCTAGTCCACATCAATCAAGTCCGAGATAGTCACTTTTCAAAATCATGCACCAAGCCTTGTATGTATATCCAGAAGCCATAAACTGCTTTGATGCGGACTAGGGGAAGCAGCGGCGACGACTGTAGGCGATCTCCAAGACAAGAAAGGAAGGCGCTGACCGTCCTTGAACAACTCGTGGAAGAAGTGTTTTGGTGGTCCTTGTCTATAAGACGGCATCACGTCATTACCGGTGAGTTGAATGATAGGAATCAACTTGTTGCTGCGTATTTGGAGCTCGTCGCGAACGCTTGCAGTGCAGCCAGAAGTTAGAGCGCGCCCACATTCATCCCAGGGGAAATCCCTCATCTTCAAGCGTATGCAGCAGTATTGCCCTTGTATTAAGGCGCATACGTTTGAGGAATCCCGATCGAAATGGACTAGCGGAAGCCTTAAAAAACCCCGACTTTTTGTGGCAGAAGGTTCTTTACCGCTATCCACCGCCATGCCCGTGAACAACTGCGTCGCCAGCTCGGCGGACGTTGCTGTTGCACCCAGGCCAACAGCTGCCTTTGATATGGGGCAATGTGCCACAACTTGTATTTTTTTTTCTTTTCTTTCTAGCTCACCAGGCAGATGTATATACTTCTTCAAGAGCCAGTTGAGCGCGCCTGCCGCCGACATTGCGCTAGTCAGCCTTCCTTTCTTCGACAGTTCCTCTTCCAGGTATTAGATGTTGTTTTATCAACATACATAGGAGCTGCAGCGGGTAGGACTCAGAATCACGCCGGCTCCAAATAATATATGTGGTGGAGCCGACCTAACTAGAAAAAAGACAGACCAGCGGAAGATATAAAAGAGAAAAGGGTCACTATCAACAAATAATATATAAAATGAAGGAAAACCAAATCTATATGCAAACGCATACGCATCTGGATATGCATATAACACTGAAAGTGTACTATGTGCTTTGGGCGTCTTGTTGTCACTAGCGAAATAGAAGCGAGAGGACGTCGAGAACACCAGACTTCACAATCACACACGGATATCTATTTTCCATTATTCTTACTCTTATCGAGGAGTACACATCATGGCTTCGGCATACCTGTTTTGCATCGAGGTATCCCACGATCCCAGAGCGCTCTTCTCCGAGTAGAAGCGAAAGGCATCTGAGGTGAAGAATATGCCGCTACCGTCGTCATTGGCTAACTGTCCTCCGCTTTGGATCACCGCCTGCTTTGTGAGCACTTCTAAAGCCTGCAAAAGCCAATACACGTCGCCCCCTATCGCCGAGAGCTTTTGGCGGAAAAAAGTTTTTTTCCTATAGCGTTTCTCGATGTCGCTTTCATCCTCGTTTCCAGGGACGACGAGCACGGCATAAGCCTTGCACTTGTATGAGTCAAAAAAAATCCCGGTACTGGTTTCGCCGGAAGCAGTAGCAGGCAAATAGGCCTTTGCCGGATAGTACTTTTGCTCGAACTCCCACGCATCATCGCGTTTCATAAAGTTTCTCCAGTTTTTTCCTTTTGCTTGCGTATCTTCTTGTTAGAAGTCAACGTCAAGGGTTGTGGATCACGGGTACTAGTTTGGGGGAAAAAGCTACAAGTAGAGAGGTCTCGGGTAGACATTCTTATAAGTATCAGTTCTTTTTAAGTAGGAATCTCTACCGAATTGATTCAGGTTCAGCATGGGCATCGAATTGCTTCGCAGTGCTGGACCATCGCACTGGCCTTTTAAGTTAGCGACCTGCTACTTTTGGTGGAAACCCATGCGAGAAATGAGCCCATAACTTCCTGGCACTTCCTGGTAGAGCAAGTAGTTACTGTTCTTGACGTTATTTTCTGCTGATTGCCGCTCCGTGTACGATGATATTAGCGATTACCCTGCGACTTCAGTGCCGGCAGTAGCTAGTAGTCTACCCAGTTTGGGGGTGAGTCCAACAAAGGGAGAAAAGGGGTAGGATGTTCAAGTGTTTACTTTAATAGACGAGAGGAAGCAGCCTCCTCTTAAGCCAGCACCTGACGAGGTGGCATCTCTTTGCTAAGAGTAAATGTATTAAGACTTGGCTCGATTCTTAAAGTGTGCATCATGAAATAAGTATAATGCTTCATCGTTACGAAACTGAGTACTAAAAGCAAGAAGTGTACTAGTACGTCCAAGACATCTTCTTACTTCAATACCACTGGGAATTAACTATGAGAACTGGTGCTCGTACTCCCAACATAACGACGATGGCGCCGGATGTGGCTCAGCTAACGGGTCTTCTAGTTCGTCACCCCGCATCCCCCGCATCCCCTGCTTCCACTCTTTTGCACCGTTCACTTTTCTCCTCGAGGTTTTGTTAGAATGTCCTCTAACTTTATATGTGTGCCTGACGTTGTTCAGGATTGGGTGGATCATCACTTTATTCAAAAAAGGGCTCTTCCTCTTATTTCCTCGATCGCGTCTGTCATCTTCTATCATGCCCATCCTACTTGTCATCTTCACGTCTCTACTTGTAATTCACCCTATAGCTTAGCTATAAACTACCGGCGAGCCAAATAAATGGAGGTTTCAATTACAGTGGGCGAATTTATCCGGTCGAGTGCCTGCTAGGGGCAAACTAATTGTATAAAAAGTTTTGATTTTCCCTAGCTATTCTCGGTTCTGGCGCATCCCATTGCGACCATCCGACGGACACGAGCAAGGCTCCCACGAGGAAGGCCACACCTAGGGCTAGGGACCCAGCACTCCTGCAAGGATTAACATATGGCTCTCCCGTTTTTTCATACGTTAGAGATTGAGTTTGAGGCCTTCTAAACCCCATTCAACAAGCTGTGTGTCTGTTGAGAATGACGCCATCCACAAAGCCGTTGGTTTGCTCTGATGAAAGTCAGAAGGTACTGCTCAAAAATTCCAAACGACCGCATATTTTTACTTGCATGCTTTACACTACCGAAAAGAATAAGAGAAAACTTTCTTGCGTCTTGAAAGACAAAAATCATATCGATTCTAAAAGTCGATATTTATAAAGAAAAATTGGAGGATCCGTCTCCCGATGAAGCATCGAGCATTAGAACTGTTAAATTTGCAAATCAGCTCTGAAGCAGGTAGAACAGTGCGAAAGAGCGCAGCATTAGTCTACGAAACCTAGAGGCGCGATAAAAAACTAGAGGTGCGATTATACAACCTGCTGACGTTGCGCATTCCAGCATACTAGTACACCTATCACAGGAAGATCATTTGTATTACAAATTCTGTAAATAAATCCTCATCAGCATCTACGCGTTTGCATTCTTTCTCTTTCTGGACGGGGAATGGGAATGCACCATCAAGAAAAAAGGATGCATTACCTATAGCTATAAGAGAGACCCAGAAGAGCACAACAAACATGCAGAACAAGGTTACAGGGAAGTACGCTAAAAAATACTCATTGCAGAGACTTTCTTTGACACACGCTCAAAAAGTATCGCGCTACGAGAGGACATAAAAATGAAGATCCGGAGGACGAAGATGATCTGGTGGATGACGATCCCGCCGCACCGTAATTGCCGTCGTTTTTCTCCTCCTGTAGAGTATTTTTAGTGTCATTCAAATCACGGATCATGCTCGAGTAAAACCAATTATATTCTATGCGTACGAGAACTCCTAATCTACGTCTACCGTGGGGCGCCCTCACAACTTCAACATCAGAGAAATTCGTAGAACTCAAAGAAGATTCAGGGAAGTCGTAGGTCCAATCCGAACCGACTAACATCATCAGGAGTTCTCGTAGGTATCATCAAACTATAATGGAGTCTATTAAATCTGTAAAAGTGAGGAGTAGTTGATGATGTACTTTTTCAATATTTTTGATTCGGCGGGTAAGAGTCTGGTCTTGCTTCTGTGAACTTGCTGGAAGGGGCTCTCTCAGTTCAGCTCCTACCGAACGAAGCACAATCTCGCTCACCCTCCTTAGTGGAGAAATACAGCAGGCCAGATTTGAAGAGTGCTCTTATTCATCTCGGCCATCCCATCTCGACCCTCTTTCCATTGCACTTTACGGGAAAAAGAACCAAGATGCTGAGCGAGATGAATAACAGCCGACCATAACGCATGTACCGGAGGTGAGGAAGCTATACTTGATGGAGAGGAAGATATACCGGAAAAATTTTCGAGCTCCTCTTGTGCTTCTTAGAGGGAACAGGGGTAATTCTGTTCTATGCCCACTTCCCTGATCTCAATATAAAAAAAAAGATCAAATTGCATGAAGTCAGTCGTGTAGTTCTATTTTATTCTCACATAATGTAAAAATAAATACTCTCCTATTGAAACGGACGATCCTACTTCATTGGACATGGCCTTTTAGTGTGAAAAATCGAAACTCTCACATAATGTTCGCACACATCTCTGATCGGGTGGCTCTCGTCTACTTGAGGGAAATCGGTTACCGGCGCAACTTTACTCTGCGTTGCTGCAGCTTCACTCGTCTGTCAGTGAGTACGGAATGATAGATAGATAGATAGATAGATAGATATTATCTATTATAAATGTTCAGAAAAATTTTCGGTAACATTGTTCTTGTTTTTTCATCATCTTCGGAAGAGCAACTCCAGTATTTTGCTTGAAGGGAATAAAACAAGGAAATTGGAAGATGAATTAGCATCTTTATGTACTGTTTTAAGTTTGACTCGCTCAGTTAGCTCCTGTGAGCTTGCTGAAAGCGGCGCTTTCAGTTGGGCCGCGACCGGGAGAGACACAGGCTCGTCTCTCCTTCTTACTGGGGAACCACCTTCGGAGAATGAGGCTTTCTCTTCGTCTGCGCGTGGTGCTGCACTGGTCTTATTTTCAGGCTCTTCTTGTGCTTTTTAGAGGAGGACTGTTGCTGATGAGAGAACAAGCTAAGTGCAATTACTCAGAAATAAGAAGCGACTTGGACATGATCAAGGCCTTTTACTCATCAATTAAAAATCGAAACTCATAATGTTCGGACACATCTTGCTCCGACGTCGTCGAGGGGTCCGCCTTACTACTGAAATTTTGTTCGTTGAGGGACTCTGTAACTTCAATATCATGCCGTCCTTCGTCAATATTATCACAATCACCGCCCGTGCACGAGACAGCCGCGTCCTTGACAATGTCGCTTTCCATCTTTTCAAATCACCAAAAATAATCAAAACATACACAAAAACAAATACTGTGTTGACGTTGTGAATTAATCATAGGTCGTGGATGTGACATTTCACAGGAGTGGAGCAGCAATGGCAAGAATTATTGTATTAAGTATTTAACTCACATAAGAGATAATGATGCAGCGTTATGATCGAGAATGATGCCAGCAGATATCAAATTGAAGCAAATGGATTGGGACAAAGAGGAACCACACGTGTAACGTTCAACTTGAAGTCGACCCCTCGACGAACACTCAGACTCAGTCCCGCTAGAGGTCGCCCACTTGAAAGAATCGACGGAGCACATCGCGGCAGAACACTCATGACCACCTCCACTTGTCATATCATGGAGCCTCTTTTTACGTCATTCTAACGCTTTTGAAGCCTATCAGCCACCCTGTCTTATGACAAGCAACCGATCGTTTTCGGTCGTAAGTGGGTGCTTACAACAAAAATTCTTCAATATCTTCGCGTGTAGGCCTACAAGAACAGACTCTTTCACGGTACTACTACTATCTGTATCGAAACGTGGCTTCAAGAAACGAGACGCTTAGCACATAAATACCGATATATAGGCTGTTGATTTCCGTCACGTACAACACGAACACACAGGGTTCGGAGCTTTTCCAGGAGCTCGGAGATATGTCAAGGAAGCGCGGGTAAAACGGCGCATTCGCTGGCTAGGACTAAGCCAGAATCCAAGTACGCCTGGCCTATTGAATTATCTCTAGTTGTTTGCGACCCGAAGCGTCGTGGAAATCCTAAGAAGGAGCAGCGAAGTTAGTACTTGTAGATGTTTAGTACTGAGAGCTATTCTTAGTAACTTAGAGTTGCTCCCCGGATCATGTAAGAATAGTATGGATTTTTTTTCTACTAAGAAAGAACTATCGTTGTCGTTGTTCTGATGTGCGGGTTGTATTCGGAGTCGGATCCTCTATGTGATAAAGCAGTCTATACTCAGACTGAGGTTCTAGAGTCTTTCTTTCATTTATCTTCCCATGCTGTAAGGGCCCGGCCGTCCTTTCCCACCACCCTTGTGAGCATGCTGCCGATGGTGTCCTTTCCACGACGCGTGACTGTGATTGGTTTGATGGTTACCCCATTCTACATTGTCTTGCCGTTGTTTCTCCGAAGCACAGAAGTTCGCTAAATCCCGCAGATGCGCGTGACGCAGGTGTCCTTGCGCTTGCTTTCGGAGCAACCAATTGTCAACCCAATTCCACTTACGCTCGAAGACCCAGGAGTACTCGCGACATTGATGTTCACCGAAGGGGAGTATCTTCTTCCCCTTCAATTTGCTTCGTTCGTGTCCTTGCAGATGATCCCGTTCTTTCTCCAGCCGTTTGTCTATTTGTAGGTTCTCGCGTTCGATGTAAAGCACTACAGCCTCCTTAAAATCGGTGGGAAGCTTATCCCACGCAGTTGTCTGGCGATGCAGGACCCAGCTTTTGCCTTCGTTGAATCTTGAAGCACCGGCAGGCACTGGTGCTTGACCGTTATGTCTTTGTGGTACACAAGTTGTGCTAGAGGAGCTCGAGCTGCTCCTCACGTTCTTGCCTTGCTCTGGGCCGCGGTTGATTCTAGATGAACTAGTCGTTGGCACGTGCACGAATGTACTTGGTCGTGCGCTAGTACTTGAAGATACCCCACTACACGTAGAGTCAGTGGGACTAGTTGCTTTGTTCATCGTGTAGTACTGCTGCTTTTGTACGCCCAACTTCTCTCGAATCAAGTCCCCAAATTCCATACCCGGATGCTCTATCTCATGCAACTTTTCCTTGCCGACTATGCCGGACAGTGTTTCGAGAAGCTTTGGTGCTGTGTCCGCGCTTGATAACAACAACTCTCCCACCCTTGCCTCAACTGCTTCCGAAGTAACCCGATTTTCTGCTTTTGTGAATCGCCGAGCCGAATCACCAGCCAATCCGAAATGCGACAAAAGTTCCCTGCTCACACGCTGCGCCTCACGCGGTGTTTTCTCGTGTTTGAGCGCTTCGTACCGCAGAACAAGGTCAAGCGCGGCATCGCCAATGTGCGCAAGAGAGTTCTCACGCGGCAAACGCGGCATTGCTCCCTCTTCTTCCAACTTGTTGAAGACATCGACAACGCAGTTACGGACTAATACCATCGTAGAGCTGAGATCAGTGTCGGGTGCCAATTCCGGGTTCTTGTTGACCTGATTTACGAGTGAAAGTTCAATCTGTTCGCCTAGTTCCGGGTACTGAAACTTCTTCGCCCATTCGTCACAGTCAGGGTCTGCAATCTGGAGAAAATTTCGAGGAGCAGGTGGAGGAGGTTCATCACGTCTCGAAATTGAAGATGAGGAAGCAGGATTTCCTTGGCTGACCGCTGCCACTTCCGCGTTCGTGGTACCCTTATCGTCCGCTTTCTCATCTGCTTTCGCACCAGATGCCACAACTGGGGGCCCTGGTGCTGCTAGAGCCTTGTGCTCGACACCAGCATCATCGTCCTCGTCATCAGAGTCGAGAATAATCACATCATCATCTTCGTCATTGTTCACCGCGCGGCCATCTGTTTTCCCTGGAACTGGATTCGGCACTGCAGATGAAGACGATGAAGACGATAATGATGCTTGTCCACCCCCGCCCGTTGTACTTGATGATGTTGTCTCCAACGCCGTTGCGGTCGTCGTCGTACCTGTTTGAGACACGACTGGATCTCCAGAGCTCCTGCTGCTGTTGGGCGCTTGAGACGCATCTTCTTCACCCGTTTGTGGGATCACCACTTGCGTGCTAGCGCAGTCTGCTACTAAGGTCCCAGACAAGCTCTCTCCACCACCTTGTGTGTACCCAAAGATCTGCTGTGTTCCCAGACTGCACGCCTGGGAATAACGTTCGAGATAGTCCTCATCCCATTCGAGCGCCTGCGACGCGGCGACGCTGTCGTGGATGCGAATATCTTCGTCGTCCATGATCGTGTTTTAAGTTGTTGAAGCTATTTTGCCTAGTATCGTTTAATTTCTAGTTTTCCTTGTCTTTTTCTAGTTCTTCGTTACAATTTCGAGAAGTACTCAACAACTACGAAGATGACAGCTCTTAAGAGTGTTGAAGATCAATATACTAGCTTCGTGCTACACGATTTGAAATACAAAATCAATGCGCTAGCGCTATGCATGGTCACGATGATCCATATCAAAGTCTCAATGACGGGAAGGTGACGGCGAGGACGTTGAGGCGGTCACGAGGTGGTCGTGAAGCTGAAGAAGTTTGCCATTTATATGTGACTGGGACAGTCAGAGCCAGATGAGCCCGAGAAATTTTCAAGAGAGGAGTTGTTGTGACCGACTCCGACGCCTTATTTTGTGAGGTCGAGGTGCCGCAACAATTAAGAATCGTTTGGTGCGCCACGTTCTGTGATACAGACCGAGATGGAAGCAAAGCACATCAGGCACATCAGGAGAGAGAACAAAATGACACTTTTTACATGTAGTTACTCCCAGAAGAGTTCGACTTGCGCGTGTTGGTTGTCTCAACAGATAAGAAGTAGAAGAGTAAGAAAAATTGAAAAATTCGGATGAAGATGAAGGTCGCGTAGTCAAGCGTGTCAAGAAATTCAAATTGTGCCAAGACACATGAAGTTTCGGGGATAAGAAATTGTTGTAGAAGGGCTCCCGATTATGAAGCCTAGTGCTAGAAGAATGAAACCTTTTCTGTTCTCCTGATTCAAGTAGCCCAGCATCAACCACTTCTTCGTAGCAGCGTCTATCACTCGACGACCGCGAATGATCAGAATTCGTCACCTCCTGATGAACCTGCATCTCCACCCATAGAAGTCATTCCTTCATCCTCCGCATCATCTCCACCCATACTTGTTTCTTCTGACAACTCGTCTTTCTCCGCAGGAAAGGTCTTGTCGAGAAAAGCATTGACTTTAGATAGCCATGCCTCCGTCTTTACGATGCGCCAGTCTAGGGGTTCCACTGTGATTTGCTCTTTGCGGAGAGAATTTGCAACTATCAGCTTCATCTCCGTCATGTGCTCGTCCTCTAAGACAAGGGTTGGGCCTTCAATAACCTCATTCAACACCAACTCTGTGACATTGCTCTCCACCGTATACTGCGGACGCTTGGCTGTGTTGAGCGAGCGTTGAGAGAACCAATATAAATGTCTAAAAATTTGAAGAAGTGGTATCATCATAGTTGTTGTCGTTATGATTGTGTCCATTGAGCTTGTAATAAAGGGGCAGCTAGCTACTGCTACGTACTTTGTAAAAATATTTGTAGTACCATGCGCCAAATGAATCATTGCGTCGCGCAAGATTGGGATTGGCAGGTCGTCGACAGCACTATTTGACGAGGTAGATGCTTCCTTCTTCTTGTTCTTCTCCTTCACCGTCTCCTTACCGCTTCTATTAGTGCTCGCAGCTCCTTCAACACCAGAAGCCAGGATAGTTTTTAGGTCAGCGAAAGTTGCAATTTCCTTCTGGTCGTCGGTGGGATTTGCAGTTCCGACTATCCGACTAGGTGAAGTCCATACCACTGCAGCAGGCTCCAACGCGTCGTACATGGCTCTCGTCACGAATGGAGAATAACCCGAAAGGAACTGAATAAGGTTTGAAAGATCCAGTTCATCCAAGTGTGTGTTGTTGATCCATCAATACAACAAGCGAAATGCTGTCAAAATTTAAACGTTCCTAAAAGCAGGCACGAGTTGTACCATGACCCTCTTTTTTGGATCGCCTAGAAACTTGCCTTCTCCTGTCGCTATTTTCTTCCCAATCTCTTCCCAATCGTCACCCGTTGGCACGAAGCACCCGCTACGTCCGTGGCACGGCAAGTCGACGCCTACAATGTTGTAATCCGGAAACTCCTCGTAGATGTGAGAAGAGAACTCTTCTAATGATAGACCAGTCGTGTGGAAGAACAGAAGTGAAGAAATCGGCTTGGAGGTTTGTTGTAGTGCTTCTGCAAAGTCAGAAGTACTTGTGCTCGTGTCCTCTCCTAACGCTCCATGATCGCTTGACGTAGTTGCTATTATTGCTGGTCTTTTAACGAGATGTAGAACGCGTTGTGGCCCAGAGCCTACGGAAATGATTCGGTGCTGAAGTACATCCACTGCTTTGTTCACTGCGTCGTCGACTGGGGTATTGCCTTTGTCCTCCTTAGGAGAACCAAAAAAGCGGTTGTACCCGAACATCCCCGCGAAAACAATGACGTACATGATGATTCTCGACAGTAATCGATTCTCCAGTAACTTCGAGATCATCTTCGAAAAATAGCCATTCCCCAGGAATTTCGTTATTGTCTCGGAGTATGAAGGTGGGAGACGCCTTAACAAAAACAGTACCTTCCAGAACAAAGAAGAAGTGCGTTACGAAGACATCATAACGCTGCGTCTCAAAAAGGATGTAGGCTCGCTAATTAGTGCTACTTAGTCTTTTGCTTTTGATTATTAGCTGTGACTCGTGTTTGTGTTCTAGTGATGTCGATTTAAGCAGGTTGAGCATGATTGAGGTTTACTACAAAATTCTTCATAACGACGACACCCCTGTTCCGGGAGCTGCTCCCTTATTTTTTCCGCGTGCCGTCTCGGCTTTCACTGCGGTTAATGCAGTGGACAGAGCTTGATTATCGGGTTCATGAAGAAGACCTTCCGTGTACGTGCGCATGGCTTCCTCGATACGGCCAAGCTTGTACAATGCAAGTCCTTTTCTGGAATAGCTCTTCTTAGAAGAAGTTCTTCTTCAATTTCAAATCAACGGCACCAATTTCGAACAAAAACTGAACTAGTAAGCAAGTAACTGATCAGAATACCGAGATACTGAGACTGACGAAGAGGAAGAGTAGCCTTGATGTCAAGCTACCTCCCTTATAATTTCGGTCAGTGACTCGTTTATTTTGAGTTTTCGAAAACTAACCAATTACAACTAGCTTGAGCGAACCTGATGAACTATAATCATCATCATGTTCTAGTACTTGTTATACTTTCTTTTTCATCAGCAAGAACAGCTTAATGCCCAAGCATCATGACCATGACGCGCTTGAACTATATGAGGACACTCCATAACCTTCACGAACTTTTTGTCTATGGAGAGGCATTTGTCTGCGTCGTTAAGGGCTTTCGCGTATTGTGCACTGGCAGCCCACGCAGCGGATCGGTTTCAACCTTAGCGCTGGCCCTAATTCATTCCTGTGAGAGGATCCCTCCAAAATATTTTTATCCCTCCTCGCATATGATTATGGAGGAGGTCGAGGTGCCGAGGATGACCCCTTCTATGTATAAATATAGAGTTACAGATGGATGTTTAGGTGCACGATAGTTAGGAGGACGACGCGCGTGCGTAGTTAAAGATGGATGTTTAGCTGCACGATAGTCTGAAGAATAGTAGATAGGATAGATGGATGTCAATAGTCTTAAGAATAGTAGATAGTGTTAATAGGATGAAGAGCCTTAAGAATAGTAGATAGGATTCTGATTGTCCAGTGCAATGGCTTTCGTGTATTTGGAGACAGCAGCATCAATCTCATTCTTCTTCAAATGTTCGTTGGCTTCGGTTTTCCAACGCTCGGGAGATGAAGAGGGAGGAGGGGGTAGTACTAAGGCATATCTATATATATTTGCTTTGGTTTTACAAGTAACAGAGGCAGCGACAAAAGCTTGTTGCATCAATGAAAATTTGAGTTGGAAAAAGGTGGTGGAATTGGAAAAGCTAAGTAGAAGAACAGTCAGAAAGTCATGGTCATCTATTATGTATTCATCTTTCCATAAAGCCTCCTCGTTTGCACCGCTAGGACCGGGCGGAGCCATCTTGTGTCTTACTTACCTTAGAAGTGTTTGGTGTAAAAGAACTTGCCGGCTAGTACAACTGCTAATTTGCTGAAGATTCATGACATCAATCACAATGATCATCTTGTTGGTGTTCTCTGCAGGAGACCACAGGCGATCTCGCCTTGTGAAGAGTGAGTAAGTAGATGCAGCTGTCAGATGAAGAACCGACCCTCCATTCAGAGAAAAAAATAACCTGTTGTCAGCGTGGAAAGGAGCTGTCGTCATCAGGAACACTGCTCGTCACACAGGAGGACGCTTCCGTTGATTACAACGGATGCTTCCTTGTACGCCCCCAGCAATGTTGCTCCTATGGCTATTGTTATCATATTCCAAAGAACCTATCGTACAAACATCAAAAAATGAGTTATATTTCGTCATTTATAAGCTTTACAATGCTTGCCATAGTCTATCAACACAAATCCAAGATGAATAGTTGAGAATTCCACGTTACTACTTACCAGATTAAGAATTACGATGTTTTAGCTGAAGATAATCAATGTTACAAAAATTTGTCACGATCCATGTAGTGAAGCTCTATTTCTTGACATCAAACGAATTATATACAACGAATTCCAATAAAACCAGTGGAGTTATCATTGATACAGATTTCTTCTTACTCATGAAGAGAATAATGTGCAAAATAATGGTTTACCGGATGCCGATATGTTGCAGAATAATTCTCGAATATTTCATTGAATTTTTCAAAACTGTTCTTCTCGCTTTTTCATAGTGCATGCAGTTACTTTGAGTTTGACAATATTTTCAGATTAGCATTAGTACTTGCTGTTTTACTTTAAATGTTGATAATGTCTTTGTAAAAGTGATGTGTATGCGATAGTTATGTCCGATATATTTATCGTGTATGCTGATGCTGTGAAGAATCTAAGTCAAACTCTAGTGCGATAAATAATATGCTGTACATCCGTCCTTTTTTTTCTGCAATTACCGTTACATTTCAGATTGTGTCTGTGTGCTCAGTCCTCCATTCCATCTTGGATAGTATTTTTGATCTTTCTCCAGCTGCTCAAGCTTACATGATCATAACCAAGTATCTTTTTTGTTCTTCCTAAATTGCGTCAATCCTGCTTCTCGCAGAATCTTTTTACGTCAATCCCGCGTCACGCAGCATCTTTTGAAATTCCCTGTTGTGCTCGTTTTGGCCCGTCCCCTGCAGTCTTTGCTCACGCCTAAGTCGAAACCGCAAATCTGCAGCTTGCCTCTTAGCAGCAGGCGAAAAATCCAGTCTGCTGGCGGATTCCTGTAGTTGTAGATAGAAATGTTGGGGTTGGCACCAGGACTTTTAGTTTAGAAGTAAGTAAAACTACGACAGCTAGATACTAGTACAACTAGGTTAGGTTAGGTTATGGATCCTTCACAACGAGCCCCACAGGCACCTGCTCCTCGCCTCCGACGTCATACATAATATCGGTGCTGGACCAGGAAAGAAGCAAAGAGAAGAACAAGAAACATTTTACCGATCTGCCTTTCTGCATTTGGACAAGCCTGTCCATTCTGCTGTGGATCCTAGGACCATGCGCGCCTGCGAACTTACCAGCTTTTTCGGGACTGGTCGCCTCTTTGTGCAGCTTCAGTTGCATGCCGCCACCTCCGCTCTTCAGCATATGCTGAATTCTCTCCTTTTCCTTGTCCAGGCGCTTCTCCCGCTCTGTCTCGATGCTGACTGGTTTGTAACGATCATCTCCGTCTTTGCAGGTTAGAGATCATCAAGCTGCTGCACGAAGAAGGTAAAAAAGATCTTCAACTTCCTGGAGTTTTGGGAAGCCGAGTCTCACAGACGAGGTTATTGGTAGTCATGCTTTAAGTTATCCGATGAGAATGAGGGATGTGGTCAGGGCTGTAATATAAATTGGGAAAGTCAAAGTGAAAGCTAGGAATGCAGCTGTTGTTCCTCTCGAGGTAAATGCAATGCATGATTTGCGAATGCGAGAACGACAAGGAGATGAAATACCACTAATAGATGACGAACTCCAACCAATCTTAAGAAATGTGGCCTCATTGAAACGCTGCGCGGCTTTCCGTCAAATGCGTCGTACATCACGGCGAACGGGACACGCCGGTCAAGACGATCTTCCGCAACAACTTTGGCTCGATCCTCCACTATCTCGCTGCCTTGAAACCATTCCTTCCGCGCTTCTGAAGCTGCTCGTTGCACCGCTCTCATGTGGGCATTCATTTGCTGCTCGATTGCACGTTCTTCATCGGCTCTACGTTCGTTGACCGAAGCACTGCGACTGCGGGAGTAGCGAAATGGCCTCAATGGCGAAAAAGCTTGCACTTCTGCCGAACGGTTTTCATGTTCATGATGCGGAATTGCAAAACTGCTTGGAGGCACAGGTGCTGGCCCTCGTGCTGATTGTGACTGCGATCGTGAAGATGCTCTGTTTGAGTCTGCAGTTCCACCTAGTGCAGGTGTAGCACTAGCCCTGGCAGTTTGAGATCCATCACCCAGCATATCTGCCAACCTCGGGACTGTAACTTGTGCCGCTAAAAGAGCTCTCCGGGTGTCTTTTGGCAAGAACTTGCTGCGACTCAACGAGCTGCTAGCAGCTGCGAAAAGTGGCGCTTCATAATTGTTTCGAGGACGTGGTCTGAAAATATCTAATGATCCTTCACCTTCGGTTTGGTCCTTCGGCTGACCACCACCAATCCTCCGCAAACTTCGTGGTGAAGCCAATGACGGATGCATGATGTTATGTACCTCCTGGCTCTCGTCATTTTTTTGCACACCAAGATGCGGATGCTTCGTAAAAGCGACTTTTGGTGAGGGAAGATGGTCTGAAAAAAGGCCACCCAAATGGTCAGCCTGAGCCTCATCGCGGTTCTCAATCGCTGAGAGTCGACGCTGACCTTGCGCATGTCCATGCAGCTGAGAAGTGTGCTCACCCTGCCACAAAGCTAAATCAGCAGCCTTACGTGCAAGTCGCGCCTTCTCATGCTCCTTTCTAGCTAGTGCAGTGGCTTTGGCTAGGACTGAAGAAGAACAATGCAGGTTTTGTAGATTAGCTGCATTAGTATAATTGTTGTCTTTGTCATTATTTCCACTGCCACTGCTATCCTCTCGTGCATCCCCTGCACGAGTAGAGGACGATGACGAGGCGTCACGACTTGCGCGGATCTTCGCTGCAGCTTCTCCGAGGAAATTGCTGTTCTGCAGCTGCTTTGGGAGACCCCAACGTGCGGCATCACGATCGCCGAGCAAAAGAAGCCTGCGCTTTCCGAAGCCGGTAGCAACGTAGCGATTAGACTGATGTGCTTGAAGAATCCACGACCTACTCACTGTTTGTCCAGCGCCGCGAGCCAGAGAGGTCCGTGGGCCAGCACCCCGCAGCAGCCCGCAGGCCTTCACAGAGTTGAGCACGACGATGGCCTCGCACTAGGACTACCCAGATTTCAATTATTGAGTAAAAGTACTTCTTTTTGTTTGATACTTGAATCCACCTTTTCAAAGGGTAACAACTAGCTAGATGCTGAGACAGATGGATAAAAGCTGACCATAAAATGAGACGGATTCCCAGCGGGCGCTAATTGCGACATCGTTTCTTCGATTGGGCCATGATGGTCATGGTGCTCGGCCAAGATTCGCGATGTCTCGTCCTTGATCAAGTTCATCTGACTCACAGATTTTTCCCAACGAGCTTTGTATTCTGAGAGCTTTTTGTTGAGATCATCAAAGCTCGCGCGATAGCTTGTTTCGCCAGTGACTGCAGCATCGTGTTCCCGACGTGCTCTGAAGTGGGCCTGATAGCCGCTGTGGAGGGTCCTCGCACCGTGATTGCTGGCGAGAAATCGCTTGCTTAGTTCGTGTACACCATCGCCGTCGTCTTTTGCTCGTTCTTGACCACCAGCACTCCACAAGCGATCATTTTTAGCAACTCCAGACGTGTCAATATCCAGAGATTTGTTTCGATGCATGTCTGCTCTCCTAGAAGAAGGTGTAATAGAAGTCGTGTCCGTGTTGCACAAGGGAACACTTCCACCATCTTCGGTCATCCTACTAGTTCTATCAACTACTGCTCCATCGTCACCACTTGTTTGCCTAGGACTTTTCGCTTTGTCACTCGCTGGACTGCGCCATCCTAGACGTAAACCCGCTGCTGCGACGTCCTTGCTATGCTTAGTGCGAAAGCTTCGCGCCATCAGAGCGTAGGGTCTTCCAGCGTAGTTCCTTCGCGTAGAAAAACCCGGATTTTCTTGCTTGCTAATGCGAATGAAGCGATCGAGGTCCTCTACCTCTTCTTGCTGAGCAAGGGACGAAGCAGCTCGCTGTTCTTGATCTTGTAGTTGAGAACCGTTTGTTCCATTTGTCGCAAATTGCCTCTTGTAAGACGAAGAATTGTCGTCTCGGAAGTTCTGGTCGGGCGCCGTATAGTTGAACGGTCCTTCAGCTGCTAGATCGATTCCGTTATTCGACACACGCTCTCCCGCATAAGGCTTTTTAAGCAAGATGCGTTGAGAATACTGGAACTGCGTTTCGTTCTCTTGAGGCTGGATTCGATTCACCATGTGCTGGTCCGACGAAAAAGTTGCGGCTGCTCCTCCTCCATCAGCGTGGTCTAGAAGTTGTACTCTAGAAGCATTTCGATTCAATATCCTACTAGAACCTCCCACCTGATGTCCACCTCGAGGTACTAGATCTCGAGTAGGCGGTGTAGCGAGTGGCACCACCTGTGGGCCTTCTCCATGTTTTGTGGCAGCATTTCGTTCGATTTTCATCGCCGATGCTTGGAATTGGACACCTCCTAGTTCAGTCCCCGCGAGCTGATTTTCGTGATGACGAGGTGACCAATGGTGTGATTGGGCACGCTTGGTGTTAGATGAGTTCTGCCTGTCGTTGAAGGATCAAATCGGGTTCAAGTTCATCATGATCTTCGGAACTTGATTCCTATGAGTGTAGGTGTATGGCTCTGGTATTTGGTAACCTGAGTTGGATCATAAGGATTCTCTTCTTGTTTTCCCTTATGATCAAATTCAGGCTATACCAAAAATACCGGAACCATTCAATGAGGAAAGAATTGATGTCTAGGGAAACAATCAACCCGATTGAGGTGGAAAAGCCGTAATCGCTGGTCGAAACGGATCATCCGCTATAACGGGAGCTCCTTCCACCTCGCGCGTCAGCCGCTTCCCCGGACTCACGAACGGACTCTGCGGCGACTGAAATGATGGATGCTGGCCTGACGTCCTCTTGAGCATTGCACGTGAAGATGCAGCAGAACTTGATCGATGATGCCCATGGAAGAGAGACTTCAACTGTGGACTCACGTCCCCTGCCGCGATTGTTGGGGAATCTGGTGAGAAAAGCATCGTGGTTGAAGTTCTTGGACGAGGAAGAAAAGAATCATGATGAAGATGGTGCTCAAACTACAAGAACGCTAAAAATACACTTCGATAGTCATAGAAAAACGATAAAAATTTCCATCTCGTCTCAATGAAATTGTCGAAAAAACCGGTACCATCTCGTCCTCGTCGCTTTGGCGTTAACAACAGTGCTTCAGCTGCGCCACCTCCAGCTATTGAGTCGGCCACTTGTGTCGAGTCTCCCCTCACATGTGCCAATCCAGTCTTCCTTAGCCCAGTGTTCGTTTCTCCAAAGTCGTTCGAGATTGAACGCCGTAAAGCGGCACCAGCGCTGTTGCGTTTCGAGCCAGTACGTGATCGTGATGCGCGCGTAGTCGTACTACCTCTCGTGGCAAAACCGCTTTCTCTGCTGTCACGAGCTGATAAAGCACCCCCACTTTGTTCACGTTGACCAAGATAGTGTTTCTTTTCATGATGAATCTCATGTTGAGCTGCTGCTGTAGACCTCCGGGTTCCGTATAATTCGGCACCGTACCCATAGTGCTTCTTTTCCCCAGTGACAGTCAGTTCAGTGATAAGGTGATCATGGATGGCGGCCTCCTGTGTGGCAGCTTCCCTGTAGGTGACCTGCTCCGGCTGACCAAGATAGATGTTGTTCACGATGGGGGAGCGTTCACGGACCTGCCTTACCCGGCTGCGCCAGGCATGCGGACGGTCCACGGTTTTATCCATCCTGTCCGTCTTCGCCGTCGAAAAGCTCGAGGAAGAGAAGAAGTAGCTCGAGGAAGGGAAGAAGTATTCGAAAAACTGAAATAAGCAAGTTAGTAACTGATCAGAATAAGCGAGATACTGACGAGAAGGAAGAGTAGCCTTGACGTTAAGCTACCTCCCTTATTTCAGTCAGTAACTCGGTTATTTTGAGTTTTCGAATAGAACAGAGAAAAAGAAATCAAAAGATTGAATGCTGAAGACGATTGGGAAGGATAATATTTACATTTTACAGTTTTTACACAACCAAAAAAATATCTTGAAGCTCAATCGGTCATGTGTAAGAGCAAGGTGTAGTCTAAGCAACGATTTACGAAGAAATGACGGAGAGCGGCAACATCGTTGCCTACTTGATCAATGGATCAACACATCATGATCGTGATGGAAATCATCTTAAGTAAAAACCATGGGCATGGAAGGGTACACGATTCAAAGGTAAAAACACCACTGGAGAGTGCGGATGAGATCATGCAACTTGCGTTTGAAGAGAAGAAGTGAAATTGAAAACGAAGGTCATAATTGTTGTACTAGAATTGGAGAACCATGTTGCTTCAAGGTGTGGCGTTCTTCTACTTAATTACAACATTTGCTTAGGTGTATTGCGCAAGAAGTTCAAGTTTATTACGTGCTTACCTATTATAGCTCGGTCACTCTTTCGCAGCTCTCGCGCTGTCCTTGCCACGATTACAGAGTTGCGGACATACATTGCAGCACTCTCTCTCTGCCACTCACACTCGATTTTTCGCTAATGCATGAAGGCAGAATGCGTTCCGATCAACTTGACAGAATCTTCTCTAATGGACCGAACTGAAAACAGAGGAAGGATCATGTTCTCAACACTCGAAGATCGTCCATACGTGACACGTCAACGTCTGAGTGTACTTAGTGTACCTGTACTGGTAGTGGTACCAAACTCCAACGAGTCTAAGAATTATTCTCCTTCATCTGAGTCAGAACCTCCTTGTAGTTCTCCAAATCTTGGTGATTGGTTCTTTTTTGACGACGGTTTTTTGCCCTCCTTAGAGAGTCCTTTTTTGCCCTTTCCATCAGCTGAATTTCCTTTTTGTCCTCCAGCAGCACCTTTCTTTTTTCCTTTCTTTCCCTTCTTCCCTTTTATTTGACCCTTGCGGCTGCGGGGCGAGGAGGATGCATCGGAACTGTCCTGATCTTCAGGTCGATCTTCGCCAGGCTCTAACTCTACACCAGGACCGCCGTCGGTGTAGTTGTCTGCGTCTAGTTCGTCCCCTAGTTCTCCATTTTTGGACATGTCGGTGGATTCTCCTTCTCCATTTTTACTACGTCGCTTTTTCTTTCTGCTTCTAGACGTAGATGAGCCCCTACTTGAAGCCGTGTAGGCGTTTTTCGGCAGGTTTGTCCGCATCACCTGTCGCAAATTTCCATCTGCTACATTTTTGTACACGTACGGCAACACATTCACCTCACCTAGAGCCTTTCCCGCTGTCTCTTTGATCTCGTCGCCAGTTCTTTGCAAGGTTTTCACTACTTTCCGACCAGTCTTTTTCGCAGAGATCAAGTCGTCCGCCACGGCTTCCACGAAGGCTGACTCACGCTGCTCCCAAGCTTTTTTTGCTACCATTTTTTCATGTCTTTGGAGAGCTTCTAGGCGTTCGCGCTCCTCTCGATTTGGCTCAAACTCCTTGTTGATCCTGGCTACGGCGATATATGGCGGATCCAGGTTCAGTTGATGTGCAAGTTTCCTAGACTTTCTGTCCAAGACCTTGCCAGCTCGTTCGAGTCGTTGATCGAACCGAGTGAGCGTGTTGTCCACAACGGCATTGATGTTTTCGCCGAAAGCTGTCACACGTTCTAGAAAATTCCGATCCTCTTCAGGTGAGCCATCTCGATCTCTTCGAGTTGTAAACATGGATAGGAGGTTTCCACCGCCTTTCTCTTCAAGCTCCAACTTCGCTGCAGCTTTCTTTGCTTCCATTTGTTGTTTCTTGTTTTGTTCTTCCTTCTCATGGCGTTTTGCTTCATCGTCTTCATCGTGCTTCTGCTCGTGTGTGTCCCCAGCTTCAAGTGCGTCTACTTCCACCTTTTTCTCCCTGTCTGACGGAAACATGAGTTCCCGCTCAAAAGCAGCAAAACCTCGGTTGCGATCATCGTTCAAGCCAAATCCGGGAGAGAGCTTTCGACGTCTTGGCGATTCTGCATGACGGATCGTATCTAGGTCTAAGCCAAGCGGCTGTCGGAGTGCTCCTGTACTGCTCGAAGAAGCCTCAGCTGTAGCCTCTACTGCGTGGGCTTGTGGTGCTTCAGCATCATTATTTTGTTTCCTTCCTCTTCTACTCATGTTCATCAGCCTTAAATCCACCAATGCTTTTTCTGTTGACGTTGCAAGAATGTGATCATCACCCAAGTCCCTTGCGTCATCGTTCCTGAACTTCTTCTGATGTCGTACTGGACTTACTGGAAATTCGGAGGGATCATTGCGCTGTAATCGACGAAGGTATTCGTAATTCTCCAAAAGGCTCCTGTGGCAACCAACTTCTTGTTGAAGTCCTTCATCTCCTTGTTCTGTATTTCTTATTGGAGTTTGTTGGTCCTTGCTCATGGATGCTTCTGCAAGGGTTCCTAGCAACGCAGTTTCCATGCCACTATGCGCTAGGCCAAGCTCCACTCGATTCCGCTGATGAAGCAATAAACGCATAGTCGCGTCGTCTTCTTCAGACGCAGATGATGCGGAAGATGAAGGTGACGATGCTGATGAACGACTTGCTGGAAGTCTATTTTTCGTACTTTGATATTGACGTCCACTACGACCACTGAGCATCTCAATCCGTTTCTGCGACAACGCTTCGTCCTCCAGTTTAGGTCGTAAAGCGTCCAAATGGTGCTCCACAATAGCAGCGACGCCGCCTTGTTCATCTAGTGTCAGGTCTAAGGCTGTATCCATATCGGTTGGAATCATTTGAGCTGGTGTTTTTGTCTTATCCGTGGTCTGGTGCTCAAGATATGAATCTCCTGCAACTAGTAGCTTCTTGTCCATCGAGTAATCCTTCGCATCTTCCAACCGCGTCATCAAGTATCGTTTCTCCGTCTCCAATCCCTCGTGGTAGTCCACCAGTGGATTCGTCTTCAGTTTTTCTCGCAGTTCCACTCGCCTCGCGTCGTTTTGCTCGATGATCTTGAGTCGGCCAAGTAGTTGGCCTTCGTTGTCGGTGAGTAAGCGGTGAAGCGCATTGCGCTCTTCGAGGATGTTCTTGTCGTTAGAAGATGAATGATCTCGACGTTGTAATCCGACGCCTTCTACCTTCCTCGCATTTTCGGCAGACTTTCGGTCGTCCGGAGGAGGTCCTTGGGCGGGGTCATCCTGACTTTCAGCAACACCTCCATCCGCACGCTCACTTGTCGGCTTCACTGATCGACCCCCGAGTCCACCCAGTCCGTTTCGAATGAAAAACCGTCGAAGGCGGGTGGTCGGAGATTCATCTCCATCTACTGCCGCATCTGTTCTTTCTTGAGACTGTGGCTCATCGTGAACTGCTGTTTTAATCTCGTTTCCCACAAACGCCTCTTGCTCTCTTGCTTTGTCGAAAACATCGCGTCCTTCCGCTCGTCCATCCTGTGCCTGCTGCTCCTGCTTTCCAGTCACAGAAAACACCACTTGACGCCGCCTAGCCCAAGAAGGAAATGGCTCGGCCTCTCGATAAACAAGAAAATGCAGTTCTTTTTGGGTTCCCTTATCGATGTCAGTCTGATGTTGAAGATCTTGAAAGTCCTTGAAGGCCTGCCGAACTGAAGGTGCACTCGTCCTCGTGGTAATCGTATTAACACAATTAAGCGCGGGATCTTCTTTCGCTACAATCTCCGCGCTAGTGGTCTCCAGTGGCGGAACAACCGGCCATTGTAGTACATTGGGGGAACCATCTTTGACGGTGAAATCAGCTTCCAGCTTCTGCTGATCCGTAGCTGCAGGAGTGGCTAGTCCAGCCGATTTCACTTTCTCCAAAGACCCCAACGGATCAAGCGACGCTGCTATTATGCGATCCCCAGGTCTCAGGAAGGCCGAAACACCGATACCGAGTGGAGGTAGTGGAAGCTCTGCTGTCTTCTTGGCAGCTGCAGTTGGTTTGTAAGTCGTATTTGTTTCTGGAGGCGGGTCTTGTACATCAGCGATCATCACGCCAGATGAGGATGTGGCTTCTGCTTTTGTATTCGCAATTCGCTTTTGTAGTTGTTCTTCTTGTAGAACAGGCTGTTCTTGTGGAACAAGCTGTTCTTGTGATGTCCACCCATTCCCCCCTCCCTCGATTCCAGGACTTCCTCCATCCAACGTGACCACAGTCCGTCCTGGCACGTTACCTTCATTCTCCTCTTTCTCCGACAGCAAGCTTGTTGTTGGACCATCGTCTTCTTTCTCCAGTGAGAATCCTAAACCACATGCTAAATCCGTGGTCGAACAACTCAGCTGCATATAGTGTCCTTCAAAAGTTTTCCGAAGAAAGAAGAATCCGCAACATACTGGCATCGTGAGCTGCTCATTATAGTCATCTTCAAAGCTTGACGTACTGGATGACGAAGAAGAACTTCCACTGTCAGTGTCATTAAGAAGATCTTCTGCGCTGTCTAGACTACCGTCTTCGTCGCTGTGGTTTTCTTCATCGTCTTTGGCAACGACCGCTCGGACGTCAGAAAATTTCTTCAGCAGTGTAGCCTCTATGCTGTTCGTGAAATTGAGAGACGAAAAGTCCCGGGCTTTCGGAACCGCCAGTGTTGTTGCAGCATCCTCGTCGGTCCTCACTGAAGAATGAGAAGCATCGGAAGCGCCTTGCTTTACACCCTTGTCCGCCTCCGTACTGTCTCCATGTGCGTTTGCTTTATCAGGATCAGGTGGAAGACGCTGAAAAAGCAAATTGGTCTGTTCCGTTACTACATCAGCATGATCGACCCAACAGTGCTGCGCTACAAAATCCACCAAACTTTGCCTCGCTACATCCCCATACGAAACCGCTAGAAGAATGTCGCCAACAGAGAGACCTGCTTTGCGAGCGGGCGAGAAGTCCTGTTGTTTTTTACCCATCGTCGAAGTTGTTTTTGGAGCAGTTGTAATTTCAGCCACGCGAACGAAAGGAAAGTCCTCCCAGCGAAGTGCAAAGTCAAAAGCTTGGAGGAAAGTCGCTGCCTGTTTCTTTATGGAAGCCTGCGTCCATGTGATCACGTGATGTCCTCTAACTACACGACTAGCAGCATAGTTCGGCTCCGCAAGCGTACTGAGAAGAAATACGCGTTGAAGATTCATCTTCTTCACAACAGGTTGCGCTTGTGGAGGCATTTCGTCTGTGCTGGGAGGCGCAGTGTCTTTTGCTGCTCGATCTCGAGGAGCATTGGACCCCTTAGATGACGACCTTTCGGAGCCGGCATCGTTATCGCTGCCTTCTTCTATTGGAGGTTCTCCGACTTCAGCAGATGCAGAATCTTGTCCATTTTCCAGAGCAGCAGAAGCGGCTATCATCAAAGCGACGTCGCTTTCATCCTTCCGCTCCGCCAAAGCTTGATCGTCATCACCAGCTACGGGAGAGGATTCCTGCTGCTCTGCACCTGTACTCTGCTCCTTCTTTTCTCCGACAACAGGTGGAATGACATCCACAACTACAGGTGCAGGAAAATACAGAGCCAATCGATCGAGTACGTCAAGCATCGAAATTTCAGCTGTTGGGGAAATTTCTCTTTGTAGGCCACTGGGAAATCCGAGACCGAGTGTCCTTGTTCCTCCTGCGCATTCGATATTCCCAGGTGTGAATCGCCGACCTTTAGGAGGCGGAGCGCGAAACAGAAGTATTGACAATGGTGAGGCGGACCTTCGAGCACAGGTTGACAGGATACTAGCCGTATTACAGCATGCTTCTAGTATACCCTTGTCATCAAGTGTTGCCATGCCGCCAACAAAATGCTCACCAAGCATCAAAATTTCGTCTCCCGCCAGCAGACCACACCGACGACCAAGACAAGCAGGATCTCGACTCACAGTCTTTACCCGCAATGCAGAAGTCGGGGGAATGAGGTACTTTTTCTGCTTGTGTTTTATTTCTTGTTCACCAACGCCGGGTGGAAGTAGAACTCCATTTTCATCTTTTTCCGCAGTGGTAGTTATCATCTTGTGCCGGTGCATCTTAGGAAAGAACCAACGCGGTGCAACCACAATACCGAGTCGCGATAAAAAAGTGCTCAGCGACAGCCTTGGTCGTTGCTTTTTCGTCCAAGCCACGGTATCAGGATGCTCTGCGTCAACAGTGATCTGTAAGTAACGGTGCTCGGCCGCTCGAGGAAGAGTTAGGAGTTCTACAGGAGTGATCGCGTTGGAGCTCGCGTGCTTGCTCGCCTTATTTTTTGGAGCATCCTCGGGACGTACATCTTCTCCAAGCGCGTCTATGTTGCTGCTCCTCTCCCCCTTCCTCAAGAGAGCTTCTTGAGATGCTATCAACGCTATCAACAATATGAAACCAAAATTATATGTTATCATTATCATACTTTTCTACTTAAGAAACTTGATAATGATAACAGATTTTCTTTTCATAAATAACTGCGCTCTTTCGACGCCGCGTGAAGAATCGACACTTCCTTGAAGTCCTTCATCATCGAAGCATTCGAAAAACCCAGGAGGAAGGACGCCGCCAGCTGTGCGAGGAATGCGGAGCAAGCGACGTAGAAGGACATCGTGACCATTGTCACCTGGCCAATGACTTGCGTCTTCTCCAAAAATTGATGACATTGTGCTACCATCAAGGCTGAGTAGTGAGTCTCCCGGCCTAGCTCCTGCAGCGGCGAGTTTAGATTTTTCGTGGAGTTTAGCGATCCGCACACAGGGAAATTCACGCCAGTCAACAAGGAAACCAAACAAACGCCATAGGAGAGTTCGGGAAAGAGCGTCACTTTCCGGGTCCTTCCAGGTGGAAGGTGGTCGCGGTTTTCCCTTGCCTTTCTGCGGTAATATCAGTATTTGTCGAAGAGCTTCTATCAGCCCCAGTCGCTGATAACAAAACTGGTGTGCAGTTTCAATGGATGGAGGTGGTGAAATCGCCGACGTCTCGGTCACCCCTGGCCCTTGCGCCGCATGATCCCCATTTGGTCGTTGCAGCTCCTCTGCGTCTTCCACGTCAGCACCTTCAACAACGTCAGGAGCAGTAGTCTTGGAGCTTTTTACCAGGCTTTCATCTGCGATGACCTTCATATGAGTCGATAACCACAATCCAACACCAGTCCTAGCAGAATCTTCTGTCAGATCTTCAGGAACCCGGAATACCCCCTTCGCCGAAGTCGTCCATCTTACCACTTTGTTCTCGTTCACATGCAGTTGATACATGTTAGTCTCTATCGGATAACGCCGCAGAAGCTTGCAGAAGAATGTTGGGAGCAAAGGTTGATCTCGCGTACAGGAGGAAGTGGAGTTGTCATTATCGCGACGAGTCGTCTCTGGAAGTGTTAGTGCAAGTGGATCGCCAGTATTTCGATCTGCCGGAGGCTGTGGCACATCAAACTTTGTAGATCCCGCGGCCATCTCTCCTGGCTTTAAACCTACCTTGCGCAGCTCTACAAAATCGTTTCGTAGCATTCCCAAAGTTTCACGTGCAACTGCTGTAGTCTCCAGGTGTCGTTTTTGCTCGTTGTCAATGCAATCACGGAAAACGTCGCGGATCCTTCTCGGAGGTGGTAATTGAAGTTGTTGTTTGGTTTGTTCTGCTAATTCTTTTATTTGTTCCTTTTCTTTGTCTTTGTCTACCATATCTTTTTCTTTAGATTTACTCGCACCAGAGGATCGAGAGCGCCCGTGATGGTGCTTTGATCGTGAAGATGATGAAGTAGTCTTGCCTCTACTAGCTTCTGTCTTTGTGTGAGATGACGCCGGTGGTTCTTTCTTGATTTTTTCTGCTTTCTTCATCTTTTCAAGAAGTAAAAGAGCTGCAGCGGGTGGTTTGAATTTCTTCTGCTTCGCCAAGTCTTTCATATGCTCAAAGACGTTATCGACGTCGTCGAAAGCCTTCTGGTAAGGCTCGGTTGGAGATGCGAAGATGTCTTCTTCTGCAGGCTTTTTCTTTCCGACAGGGAGCGTTTTTTTTGCAGGCGAAAGCTGCTTGTCGTAGCTGTGTTGTTGAAGCGCCATCAGTTCATCCCTAGAAAGCGCATCAAAGAGTTCTCCAGCTACGTAGGGAGCCAGGCTGTTTTCAAGCAAAGCTAGTAACTCGTCGATATTGATTGTGGTGTCAGGGTCAGCTTCTTTTTCATCCTGCTTTTGGCGATGTCTCCTTTTCCGACGTAGCTTGCGCTTCTTTTGTTTTTGACGGTTCGCAAGAGGATCTGCATTGTGATTGTCTTCGTTAGAACCAGCAGGC